CCCTTCCAGCCCCTACTATTCTGTGATTCTGTGATTCTGTGATTACTAAGAGGAAGTGTCCTGCGAAAACTGGTGTTTGTAGTCAATCCAGACGTCCGCCCGCGCTGGGGCTGTCCTGCGTCATTATTACACACCCACAAATTCTTGAGAATGTTTGGGGTTTTTTTTGCCATCTAACACCACAACTTTTTTCTTGTTTGTATTCTCCACCTTCTTCAATTACTTAAATTGCTCTCTTCCAAGCACTAGGCAACTGAGATAAAAGCAGCAGGATCAGAGATTGTGGCAACGTGGAACTGCATTTTCTACAGTTTCTGGGCTGTGAGTCTATGGAAACTTCACTCAGGGAATCCCTCGAGTAGGAAATAAATAATGGAGGAGTAATTTCTCGTGGGTGTATTCCTCCAGGAAGGATGCTGACTTTTTTAGTATGTGAATGAATAGGTCAAAAACCAGAGAGGAATAAAAGACTAAATTTGTACAAAGCCCAAAGGCAGGCAGTAAATGAAAATGCTGCACTGTGAGTGTGCGCCTGCATTTATTCCAGCCATAAGTCTTGCAGTAGCATTTAAACTTATGAAGAGCGCCCAATAGAATATTGAAAGCAGCCGGCTATAGAGAAATGCTCTTCTGTTTTGGTGTTTTTTTTCTCTTTTTCCTTACTTCCACAAGGCAAAACATAAATAAATGAGGTCCTGGAGGACAGTGAGTGGAATCTGCCAGCTCCGGGGAAATTACCTGCTGCTTCTCCCGGGCATTCAGAGTGTCTGGCCTGAGAGATGCTGGAGAGCAAGGCATTCGTCAAAGTGACAAAGAACATCTGAGGGAATGAAACTTAACAGGAAAAAGTAGGTGAGAAATTTTAAGACTTCGCAGCCTCAGCGGCTTCCGTTCAAGTGGAAGCATTAATTCTCTTTTCAGCTGGTGCTGTCCCAAAGCACTTCAGAAATTTTTATATCTCCTTATCAAAAAGAAATAGCCACACGCTGTTTGGGGACTGCTCGGACTCATCCGCGGGCCCGGCGTTGCAGAGCTGCTTCTTGCACTCGCTGGGTGACGAGCTCCAGCAGCCGGTCGCGGGGGTGTCGGGGCGAGGATCTGTGGCTCTGACAGGAGCAGCAGCAGCGAAGACCCACGCGTGTGGGTATGGACAGGACAACCTCCAGAAACAGCAGCGGGCTGGCTACACAGGTAACCGCAACGCGAAACTGGAGGTGGAGGAAGAAATCTGGTGTGATGGGGATCTGATTCCATTTTCCCCTTGGTCTCAGCTTGACTACCCTGACCTTCATCGTGCAGGTTATCATGCAAGGAAAAGGGGCCCTGGACGATGCTGCCCGAGGCTGGCTGCCCGCCTGAAGCTGGGTGCGCTGGCAGCACGGCGGGTTGACACCGGGCTCTGCCCCTGGGGTCAGGCAGACACCTTCCCCAGGCCCAGGGGCCCACGCGCTCGTCCCCAGAGCGGCCAGCTCCGCCGGCCTCCG